ATATAGATGCATTTTAGAGTGTAGATTCACTCATTTTGCTCCGTATGTAGTCTATAGTGAAATCTCTACAAAGACTTATATTTAGGAACAGAGGGAGTAGCCTGCATTGATCTGCCAACTGACAGCATCATTTAAGAAGATGCAGCATGAGTGCATCTTACTCCGCTATCTACAGAAGCATAAATGCAGCTATCTTGATGCATGCATGGCAGAATTAGGTGTGGCCAAAAAAATAATTTAAGATTGGAATTAGGGTGATAAGATGATAGAAACAAAAGGTGAGGTTTTGAATGGCCGATTGCACCGGCCATTGTCCGTTTGCCGCGAAAACATACATGGCCCAGCAAGATAGCGAGGTTTTGTAGCCCAACAAAGTAACAACTTTCCCTCAAAAAAAAAGTAACAACTAATGGCCTATTAAGCTAGCTAGCAAGAGACTGGTCAAGCCGTCCCCGAACTTACGCCTTCCCGTGCATTCCATAATTAATATTCACTGGATAGTAGGACGGCATTTTCATAATGGCTACGTGATATGATCAAAGATACTGATGATAGTTTACTGTGCACAATGTTGTATTGCTGCCCTTAAGGATAGATAGATAAGATACGCAGTGTGGAACTTTGATATAGATGTATGGTTGTACTCACTCCTTGGTGAAAAGATAATTAATTTAAGAGGCCGAGCCCGGTTCCAATAACCCTCCCTCTTCTTGTACCCCGAGCACAAACTAAGTATACTTCAGATGGTTAGATTCTTGTGTGGGATCAATCAATCCGAGTTCAAGTTACAAACTAGACTCGGGTACACACATGTTTCCTGGGTTTATTTTAAGCTTACCGATGTTATGTTTGAGTGGTAAAATGTGTCCGTCAACTATGAGATGCTTATAAGGGTAGTGTGAATTTGTGCGCGTCTATGCATGTGTTGTGCTTTAAAAAAAGATGCTCCCCTTTTCTCTTGTGTTTTCCGACAAAAATAAATAATCAAAGGGGCTCCCCTAATTGCCCGGACTATCCAGAATCCCCCACTCTCGTGTCAAATGAAGGGCATAAATGGTGGACATCTGAATTGTTCGCTACCTAGGTATGGACACCCCATCCCCACCTGGACCTCACCCGAACCCCCACCCATCCCCATGCTAGGACCATCATGTCCAACAAATAGATACCAAGTGCAAAAAAATAAATAAAGAAGGAAGAGAGGTTCCAAGAATTCATGAAGATACAATCAAAAAAGGTTGAACTTGAGAACTTGAGAACATTGTTGCAAAGAGGGCATCAATCGACACTAGCATCATGTATGCGAATGCGGCGAAGTGGGTTCGCATGATGCATAGCAACATCAATGTGCGCCATGGAAATCGTGGTGAACATCGATTCACTCAATCTATTGAATATGTATTATGAACTTTTGTTGAATTGTTTGTCATGCATAATTTTTGATTTTTGTTGTTGTTGAATGCACGCTATATCTATCATTGAATTGTTGTTGAATGTTGAAAATGTGAAAATTTCAGTTTGACAAAAAATCAAACAAGTAAGGGACGCTCTTGGGTACCACTAAAAATCTGGACAAGTAGGGACGTTCACATTCAAGCAGAGGATGTAATTAGATACATACCCTTGAAGATGCCCTAAGATAGGCCTTTGGTCTTTCAATTTTATTTATCTTGTAGCCGGTCATAACTCTGTTGTTCAAAATGTGGAACACTATTCTCTCAAGAATATATTTTTAAAACTTCTTATACCCTGCAGTACCACCAACTAATATCCGTAGGGAGAAAGGTAAATGTGGCTGCACACACAAAATTCACCTAGATGCCCGGATAAAGTGCTTTTTGGGTGCACCTTGCTAGTTGACACAATAGTATTGAACATCTAATGCACCCTAATCTAGTGAAATTGAGAATTGAGATGGGTAGAGTGGTTTCTCTAGGACTTTGGGTTTCGGATCTTTCATCAAGTTTGATGTTCCACTTTAAAGCCATTGGCTAATCTTAAATATTCAATAAAAATGTTAGTTCGCTCAATGGTTCTGTTATAAAGCATCAAAACCTCGGTAAGATTATCTAAGAGATGCATTTTCACCATATTAAACAACCAAAATGCCAAAAAAAATCTTATTTGATATACAATATAGAATGCATGATTTAGTGAATACAGTTACTTTAGGGTATAGTGTGTTAGATACAGGATCAATGCTTACTCTCTCGTTTTCATCAAAGTATGTCCCTAGCTAGATACTCTTTCTCCCCACACTAATAGTACAATATGAATTAGGTTTTCTAGCAAAGTTTAAGTAATCAATATATTTTGAACCAAAATTTCAATTTATAACTATTTTGTACAAATATGTTTTAATAGGGAACAACTAATTGGAGGGTGCCCCTTGTGTGGGGCACTTTTGCTAGTGCGGGACTGGCCCAGCATGCCATGTGGCCCGTCCAAGCGCCACCATGTGGCATGTGCTGGTTGCTTCCACAACGCAACATTTTTTCTTCATTTCTTCATTTTTGTGTTTTTCTTGGTTTTTGGGTTTTCCTGGTTTTTTGTTTCTTTGTTTTTTCTTACCTGTCACGAGCTCGGAGCAGAGTTGTGGCTCCGCGGGAAAGCACAATTGCGCTTCTTGTGTGAAAGCACAAATGTGCTGCTCGCGTGAAAAAACACAAGTGTACTTCCCTGATAGTGAAGCACAGTTGTTGTTCTCGCGTGAAAGCAAAACTATATAACCACAACTATGCTTCCCCACAAAAAGTGAAGCCAGTTAGTACAAGTTTTGAAGGACGTGTTAGTATAGTTTTAGAGCATGTATTTCGATCAAAAAAAGTTCTTCAAATCTATCAACATGGAGTCGAGTTTTGACACGCAAAACACAATAGTGGAAACGGTTCACGATTTAGACGCACCGTTCGAGAGATAAATCACTTTGAAAACCTAATCTACAAAAAAAGACAAATAAACCCACCCTCTCTCCGGTGGGATTTCATCCCACCAAAACCGTCTAATTGCGACAAGTGACACACATGTAGTGCGTCACTTGTCACAACAAGGGGAGGTGAGAGTGACCTTTGCAAAATGTACCCTTCAATTAGTAATTTCAGTTTAAATAAGTACAACATCGTATAAATTTTAAAGAAATTGGGTCCATGGCCTGACCCAACAAATTAGAGCCCAATATGGGGGAAAGGACGCCTCCATGGGCCTCCAAAGTCCAAAGATACACCAGTCACTGGGATGGCGGTTCTGCGAGCTCTTATTTGATGCTTATGGCGCCTAAATAGTAGCCAGTGCTCGCTCGAAGCCTCTCCAGCCAGCAGATAAATGTTTTTTATTAGTTGGAAAGCTTCTTAAGTTAGAAAGAGAGCAATTAGTTAACGAGCCCTTTTTCGGGAGCCTCGCAACGATCAGCGTCACGTGGCGCGCTTTCAGCCGACCGTCACGTGCGCGCTCTGGACGCTCCCTTCGATTTTTTATTTTTTCCGCACACGTTTTTGACTTTTTAAATCGCCTTTTCGGGTTTTTTCGACGATTCGGTTTTCCTTAGCTTTTGGATAAAAAAATTCAAAAAAAATTGCACGAAAAAAACACGTTTTTTTCTTTCACGAGAGTCACGGTTTTGCTTCCGCGAGAGGCACGTTTGTGCTTTCGCGTGAGTCACGGCCTTTCGAAAATGAAAAAAATGCGTTTTCTATTTTTTTTCTTCCATGAGAGGCACGGTTTTGCTTTCGCGAGGGTCACAGCCGTGCCTTTCAGAAACAAAAAAAAACGCGTTTTCTGTTTCTTTTCCTTCCGCAAGAGGCACGGTTTTGATTCCGCGAGAGGCACGGTTGTGCTTTCGCGAGAGTCACGGCCGTGCCTCTCGAAAACGAAAAAAACGTAATTTCTGTTTTTATTCCTTTCGTGAGAGGCACGGTTTTACTTCCGTGAGAGGCATGGTTGTGCTTTCAAAAAAAAACGCATTTTTTATTTTTTTTCTTCCGCGAGAGGCATGGTTTTGCTTCCGCAAGAGGCACGGTTGTGATTTTCATGAGAGTCATGGCCGTGCCTCTCGGAAACGGGAAAACTGTGTTTTATGTTTCTTTTTTGCTTCCGCGAGAGGCACAGTTGTGCTTTCACAAGAGGCACAGGCGTGCCTCTTTTGAAAATAGAAAAAACCCGTGCTCCTGGTTCGGTTTTTTCGTCTGGTTTTTTTGGTGAAAAAAAGTTCGTCAAAAACCTATCAACATGGGATATAGTTTTGAAGATCTCGACGCGAGGAATCCAACGGTGAAAACGGTTTGAGATTTGGACGCACGGTTTAAGAGATAAAATATTTTGAATAAACGGATCTACGAAAAAAGAGAAAACTCCCAGATTGTGACAAGTGACGCACGTGCAGCGCGCCACTTGTCGCAACATGGGGAGAAGGGAGTGATCTTTGTAACGAGTACTCCTCAACTAATGATTTCGAGTTAGAGAACATGAATTTGAAGAAAAAAGTTCAAAATTTCGGAAAATGTTTAGGATTTTCTTGAATTTGAAAATAATTCCATGTATTTAAAAAATTTCACGGATTGAAAAAAGTTTACGAAATAAAAAAAACTTCCTGAATTTAAAAATGTTCATGAGATTTCCTTAAAAAGCACGTTTTTAAATGAAAAAAAGGGAAAAGTAAAATAAGGAACAGGAAAAAAAGAAACAGAAAAGGAATAAAAAGAACAAAACCGGCCCATAGCTCTGCGTATGAACAGAGCTATGTTTGGCCGCTTCAGCGTCAAATAGCATTTTCCGGCGGTCCTCTTCTCCAGCGCTCTTCCCTTGCCCTCGGCGGCCGGAGCCGGAGAGGCCAACTTCCACCAACTTGTTCCACTCCGGCCAGCCACAGTTGAACCCCCTCCACGCCAACACAGCTCGCATTCACCATCGCAGCCGCCCGTTCTCCCGACTCCCGCCCGACTCGACGGCCTCGGTCGATCGGTCCTCTGCTCGCCTCACGCCATGCCCACCTCCCGCACGACGGAATGCCGAACCCGGACCCGCCGCTGCCCCCTTCCCTCTTCAACTCCCTCATCGCCTCCCGCGCCCGCGCCGGCCGCGCGGCCGACGCCTTCTCGCTGCTCGCGCGCATGCTCGCCGCGGGCGTCGCCCCGACCGCGTTCACCTTCGCGCCGATCCTCTCCTCGCCCTCCGTGTGCCCCCGCCGCGCCGCGCAGCTGCACCCGCACATCCTCAAGCGCGGCCTGCTCCATAGCGACCCGTACTCCGGGACGGTGCTGCTGGGCTTCTTCGCGCGGCACGGACGGTTCGGCGAGGCGCTCGACCTGTTCGGCGAAATGCCCGCACGGAGCGTCGTCACCTGGAACTGTCTCGTCTCTTCGTTCGCGCAGCATGGGCATGTCCAGGACGCCGTGTTTTGGTTCAGGGAACTCGTGAGGAGCAGCGATGGCTTGTCTGAAGGCTCTCTCGTTGCGGTCTTTCCTGCACTTGTGTCACCGGACCCAGTTCATGGGCTTGCCATCAAAACCGCAATGGATTCCTTCTCGGCAGTTGCTAACTCGTTGCTGAATTGTTACTGTACTTGTGGCACAGTTTGCGCGGCAGAGAAGCTATTTAATGGTTTGATGTTCAGAGATGTGGTTTCGTGGAATACAATGATCACTGCTTTCGCTAGGAGTAACTTCCCAGGGAGAGCTTTTGAGCTTTTCTCAGCGATGCATCATCAGGGTGTTTCTCCAGATGAAACTACATTTTCCAGTGTTCTTTACGCTGGCACCAGTATAAATGCACAGGAGCATGGGAAGTCTGTTCACGCCAAATCTATCAAGCATAACCTCAACACGACAGTATTTGTGAGTACTTCACTGGTTGATTTCTACAACAAATGTGTTAGTAGGAGGGACGCTCTTAAAGTACTCAAAGAGGTTCCTCATAAGAGCACTGCATGTTGGAATGCTCTGCTTTCTATCAAGTCAGATGGTGATTTTCCAACTCTGTTTATGATTCTGAGAGATATGTTGCAATCAGGGATTAGCCCAAATGAATTTACCTTTTCTTCCTTGCTCAAGGATCCATCACTGTTGGATGTGCATCAGATTCACTCATTGGTCATAAAACTGGGTTATGACGGTAATGACTATGTTTCAAGTGCTATTATATCTTCCTATGTCTCACATGGCTTTGTTTCTGATGCCCTCGCTTATGGAGTTACATTGGATCCTGACTCCTGTAATGTCTCCATGAATGTTTTAGCTGGGGCATATAATAGAGCTCACATGTACCAAGAGACCAAGGAGCTACTCTTACATCCGAAAACGAGTGATACTATTTCATGGAGCATACTTATTACTGCTTGTGCAAGGAATGGTGATTATGCTGAAGCTTTTGGACATTTCAGACAGATGAGAATTTTGGGGCATCATTTTGATAACTATGTAGCTGTGAGCTTGCTGAGTATTTGTACAAAAGTTAACAGCCTTGTTCTTGGTAGGCTGGTGCATGGGGTAATCACCAAGACCAGTTATGGGTGCTCAGACACTCGTACTAATAATATGTTGCTAGATATGTATGCTAAATGTGGTAGAATTGAAGACTGTCTGAAAGCCTTTGAGGAAATGGAAGATAGGAACGTAATCTCATGGACAGCTGTGATTTCAGGCCTTGCACTTAACGGTTTTTCTCGTAAGGCCCTGGCATGGTTTAAAGCTATGGAAGGGGCTGCTGTCAAACCTGACAAGGTAGCAATTCTGGCAGTCCTTTCAGCTTGTAGACATGGAGGACTTGTGCAGAAGGGAATGGAGATATTCAAACGTATGGAAGCTGATTACTCAACTGAAGCTGGGATGGAGCATTACATTTGTGTGGTGGACATGCTATGCAAGTGTGGTCATTTAAAGCAAGCTGACTCTGTGATTAGAGGCATGCCTTTCCGCCCGAGTACTATTATTTGGCGCACATTCATCCAAGGATGCAATACATATGGCATGCTAGATACTCAAGTGTTTAGCTAGTGATGGTCTTGGTAAACAATGGAGGTGGGTGTTTTCTCACATGAATTCAGAAAATGGTTGTTGCCAAATTAATATTTAGACCATACTAGATATCAAATGAATTTTGGTTGCACATAGTGTTGATATTGTTACAGTAATGTAAGCTACTCCCTCCGTAAACTAATATAAGAGCGTTTAGAATACTAAAGTAGTGATCTAAACGCTCTTATATTAGTTTACAGAGGGAGTATCATTTAATTCATATGTTTGAACAACCTAGTAATGGAGGATATGTGATTGCTGGGCACCTTTATCAACCACTTCACCTCTTTTGTTCGCTCCATTATATCTATGATGAAGGGTGTTGATTGGAAACGTCCTCATTTGATGAATCTTTTCTGGTTGGTGGTTCATTGTGGGTCGGCATTTCTTTGCTCCCTTCCATAGTTCCTTTGGTTTGGCTTTGTGTTCTGTCATCATCTAGTGGCTAACTACAGAAGGAAAATGCCTTGCTCTTTCTGCATGGTGTTGCAAACTAGCAAGAGGTGTTCCGCGTCCATGTTGTTACCTTCATGGTCAGAATTGTGCAACATGGAGGAGGAGAAAAGGATGGCTTCTATTCCAGTTGACCTGAATATGTGGCCCTTAAAGATCCAACCTCCATATGGTCAATGAAATGTTCACTTTGGCAGTTAGAATTTGAAACTGGTCGTCATTCTTTGTGAAAGTTGCAAAGGTGGTGTGAAGGTCCACAAAGAAAAATGGAAGTGTGTACCTAGTTAGAAATATCTGAAGAAATATTGTACAGTGACTGAATTCAATTATTCAGGTAAGAAATGGAATATGAGAAATGAAGATGATCTCATGGCATAAAGTTTATTGAGCATTAGGAATCTACTGGGTTTGGTGGTTGACTTTCTGTACCTAATGAAATGTTTCAATTCACAGGCAAAAGGAGAGTAAAAGGAGAAAGGCTGTTCTTGAAATACCAAGGTGTGGTAGCCACTTGCAGCCTATGAAAATGTGAAAAATGACAGGAACGTGTTCAGTAAGATCCCCTCCTATTTACTATGCTTGACTTGTGAATCTAATTGATGGTGATCTGCATGATCATACCAGACCAATGCATTTATAATGATTAGTATAGTGAGGCTGCTGTCACCAGGTGTGTTTCCTGCTCAATGAGTATCTGAAACGTGGATTCCTTTTTCATAAACAAGTTCTTGTGAGGCGCCTCTTAGCATCATGGATTAGTCAGCCAAGGTCGTTAGGCTGTGGCAAATCGGTTGCAAAGATGATAAAGTACGAGTCAGCACAGAGGCATTAACTAATTATCAGAGGTACACAGGCTTTTGACGAAGCATGCACATTAGTAGCAAAATATGGGTTATATAATACCGAAGCATGGGCTTATATTGGCTATTGCTTTTCATTCCACTAGGCATTGTCTACGTAGCTCCAACGGTTCGCGTTTACTAATTGAATGATGACCAGGCACTGTTGTCCTGGTACTATAAAGGTGATCTGGTCAAAGAATTCAAAGCATTATCTAATCCAATGGCTGGTGGGTTGAGATATCATGACCTCCGTATCAAGCTGGGATTGCAAAGATTGACAGTTGAAGGAAGATCTAGCTTTACTAGATAGTACATGTCTAACGATTTTAAATTCTGATTAATTTTGGTTGCTGCCATATCTTATGCGTGTTGCAAGGTACTTAGTGTATCTCTGAATTGTAGGCAGATAAACTGGCATTGTCCTTGGTACGACACCTTGATGCAGATTGCAACTGTGACTACTGACTGATGTCTACCTGCATATCGTCACAATTTGTTCTCTGTGACTGGAAAATGCACACCTAAGGTAGGAGCTCTCCCTCCACGGAGCTTACTGGATTCTCGGTGTGAACATTGGTTTGGTTCAAAAGAATTTCGTAGGAATTCTGGAGGACTCAATTCTGTAGAAATTTTCCTAAAGAGCTTGTTACCTTCTTAGGATTAGAAACCATAGGAACTTTTCCCATGGTCTACTTTGTATACAATTTCAAAGAAAAAATCCCATTAAGCCCACCACATTGATATTTTCTTTGTCTCTATGATAACTATGCCATGCACCTAATACTACAGAAAAATTCTTGCATTTTTACTGTGGTGCTACCAACAGCTTCTATCACTAACTTGTGTGTTTTAATTTCCCTAGGATTCAGTATTTTATGCCATCTTGTCTATATTCTTCTTTCATCTGATGGTCTAGATACTAGAATGATGAAGTCAGTGACATCACAATGTAACGTCAAAAGATGTGGTGCCGTGGGGACTATTTGGTCCATAGGATTCTAAGACCGCAGAAATAGGGAAAATTGATGGTTGAGATCCATCCAATGGTAGAATGCTCTAGGTCTGTACCATTGCTATTGTTTTTTTTTTCAACAATCTTTTTTTGTTAACCATCTCTTTGATCAATGTTGAATATATCATTGGTGTGAATTTTCCACCATGTGTTCTGGATAACTTAATTGAAGTTTATAAATTCATGACATGGCAGTGGTGACATGTTAGGCATAAGTCAGTGCCTAAAGAAAGTTCCACTTCACTACTGAGCATGCCATTGGCAACAGGGCATCACTCAGTTGTCTAGAGCTGAAGGTGCTCTCCCAGCCCAGCCCACCCTGGTTCAAGGGATGCTTAACCTCCCTGGTGCTCGTGGTAACCTTTTGTACTCCCTCCGTTCACTTTTATAAGTCGTTTCGGACAACTGAAATTGAGCTGTTTTGCAGTTGTCTCAAATTTCTACAACGTCTTATAAAAGTGAACAGGGTAAATCAAAATGCTGCGGGTGCTGCTTAGGAGGTTCTGTATGTACATATTCTGCCTTTGTTCAATTTGGACGTCAACTCTCCCTTGACCATTGATTTCAGACGTTATCAAGAAAAGTATTTAATATATGATGGTATGTCATGACTTTTGTTGCCAAATTCGGTACAGTAGCATATTATCCATTTGGAAAACTTGAAGAGTTTCTTTTTTGCATTATTGTCCTCCTTTGACTGGCTTTGGCACATTGGGCTAGTAGAATCATCTCAAGTAGCCACAAATGTATGAAGACACGATATATATGCTACCCACGTTTAAGCATATCTGCGGTCAAAAGCTTATAAAGATTATGTTCATGCATGCATGTATTCCTAAACGCTGGGCACCATACATTGTCAAATATCATGGAAATTCTCAGGAGCACGCATTATTCCAGTTTCCAGAAGCAGACAGTCGACACGTCAGCTAGCTACTTTCAGTAGTTCAAATCGTGGCTTATATCCTTTCATTCTTGGATACATCGTCCACATACACGATGAGAGCTGAGAGCGGCGGTTGCATCCCTCCCTGCTTATTGGCGCACTGATGCATGTGGAGTGGATTATTGTGGGCAATTAAGTAAGCAAGAGGCCAGCGTCGACCGGAACATAGGAGATGAACATTGGCTGATGGCGTGCGTAGGCAAGCACGGACACGGAGCATATGCTAATGCAGAAAGGGGGAAAAGATGGAGGATCAATTATGATGGACGCACATCTTCTTAGCCGGTGGCAATGGTGGCCACTCGGACAGGATCACACCAGGTTCATCCAACACTACTCCAACACCACCCCTACGTGGCCCTCTTTGTCCTAGGCAGAGGCAGGCACACAATGCGCGCGGTGGTTCCACCCCCACCAATTATCCGCAACAACGGCCGGACCCGGGCCCACGTTGTAACTGCCGGTATGATCCATCTCGTCGAGCTCCTCGTCCTATAAATAGAGAGCGGCGCCTGGCCAATGAAGGACATCTCTGCACCAGCAGTTCAGCACACACCTTGTACTACTACTGCCTAGCTAGATACGCACCGAGCACCTACGTACGTGTACGCATCTCGTCTCGCAGTTTAACGTTAGCTAACTCCATCCATCATCCATGGCGGCCCGCGTCGGCGCTGTCGTGCTCTGCATGCTCTTGATCGTCAGCGCGGGGCTCGTGGCCACGCCGACCGAAGCTCGCGCCGTGCCGGACGTCGTCTACGCTGCCGCGGCCGGCGGTGGCATCCGTCGGGGCAGGTGGAACAGCGCGAGGAGGCTGGAGGGAGACGCCGCCCGGAAGCGGGAGGTGCCCGGCGGCCCAGACCCGCAGCACCATCACTAGACACAAGCGTCAGCTGCATGCGACGTGCCAACCCAACGTATTACGTATTCCGTATATGATACGGATTCTCGTGGAGCGTCGGCTGGATCATACTGTACGACGTAGTACCTCGCTGTTGTATCTCTGGGATTGTGGATCGGACCGGAGAGGTAAAATAAGTATAGTTTGCATTTGGTTTAAGTATAGTCCACACATATGGTACGACCCAGTTGTAATAAACAAGCTCAGGCTGTTGAAACGCGCAGATAATAATACTTCTGTGTAGCAATGATCTACTGTGTATCCGTGAAGACTGGATTGTCCTTTTTAGCTTGGTCATCTCCTACGTGGTGTTGGGATAATATTATTCGTTATTACGTACGGTGTCGACTGCGATCGTCCACTTGAGAGATCGATCATGGCACCATGCATGCACGATGAACATCTGCATGCGGATCTCCTTTTGTGGTCGGTCGACGCACATTATTTCATTTTGTTTATAATATATTCAAAAAGTGCGTCTAACTTTCAAGTGAGTGTGACCGTAAACCGACTGTAATCACGAATCGCCAATGGGATCAGCGGCGCGTCATCTGACTCATCGTGGTAGGCTCAGAAAGACCAGCAGTGAGTAATGGAGAGATACTTTTCATCAAGCTCGACGAACTGGCGGAACAACGGAACGCGAACCTGGGACCGACTACCGACGCCATGCGGCCATGGTGCGGATCGAGCGTAGCGGCCGTCTTTCCTACACGGAATCCCCCGGTGCCTAGCTCGCTTCCTGCTTGTGCATAACGCATGGCGCGGTGGCGTTCATGCGTGGTTAGAGCATCCACAGCCGGACATGAGTTCCTCTTTTTGCTC